TGGACGACTTTCACGCCGCTTGCAACAACTTCGTCACAAGACTTAATCTCGTTAGATCAGTTAAACACGGTTTGTTTCCCAAATGTATGTAACTCCCGAGTAGCACACTTCCGTTAATAAAAGTTGCACCAACTTGATGATGACTGAAATAAGTCGTAAAGAAGTTTCTACTACCGATATGTGACAAGCGTGCTACTAGGGCTGAGACTGGAAACACTTGATACCTCGAGACACTTGATCCCCTTTTTGTTTCTCGAAATTCTGAGCAGATTTTTTTCATGTAAGTTTCCACAAAGTCTAGACGGAAAGTAATGTTATGGTTACATTTGTGTCAGAAAAAACGGGTCCCACGATATCTCATCACTGCTTTCACCAAATTGGCTCATTTTTGGGGTGAAGACTCGTTAAACAGATTACGTGTGCATGACGCAGGCCGATTTTTGAAAAGTGGATTTAAAAACAAGATAAAAATATTGTTATGTAATTTGTTAACAAAAATAAGTTTTTACCCTTCTTACAAAGAAGGGTGTAGATATCACTTGAAAAACCGACTATCGATCCGAGGCCCGGAGGGCCGAGTGTCATATACCATTCGACTCAGCTCGACGAGATCGGAACATGTCTGTGTGTGTGTGTGTACGTGTGTATGTGTGTATGTGTGTGTGTATGTAACGAAATGAATGCGCTCACGTTTCTCAGCAACCGCTCAACCGATTTGGACAAACTCGGCGCCAAATGATAGGTCTTGGAGTCCCATTGAACGCTATTGAACGGTTTTGGAATCGGTGAACCGGTTCCGGAGATATGGCTGGAATAAGATCCGGTGAATATGGGCCTTCACGCTGGATTTAACGGAAAACGTATCAAAACCATCATATACCATTCGACTCAGCTCGACGAGATCGGAACATGTCTGTGTGTGTGTGTGTACGTGTGTACGTGTGTACGTGTGTATGTGTGTATGTGTGTATGTGTGTATGTGTGTATGTATGTAACGAAATCAATGCGCTCACGTTTCTCAGCAACCGCTCAACCGATTTGGACAAACTCGGCGCCAAATGATAGGTCTTGGGGTCCCATTGAACGCTATTGAACGGTTTTGGAATCGGTGAACCGGTTCCGGAGATATGGCCGGAATAAGATCCGGTGAATATGGGCCTTCACGCTGGATTTAACGGAAAACGTATCAAAACCATCATGCGACACATCAAATTACTACAGAATTCAAAAATAAGATCAATGCAAGTCGTGTTAAGTGTTCCAGACCACATTGGACACACTTGGACATGTTCCGGGTACCCCGGGGAAGTTGCTTGAATATGTATTGAATTAAAACCCATTAAATCACATTAAAATACGATGATAAGGTGATTGGTAGCCTCACCAAATAGACTACACCCGGATATATTCCGGGTACCCCCAGGCAGTGGCGTAGCGTCACTGGATAACACGGGGGTGGGGGGCTTGGTCACTGATAATGACAATAAAATAAATAAACTTGAATAAGTAAGAAGGGTCTGATCACACCATAGGTGGATAAATTCGGGTTTTTATTTTTGTGTTTAAAAAAAATGAAATTTCAAAATCCGGCTTCCTCGTGCACACGGGATAAATTTTGTGAGTCTTCACCGCAAATTTCAACCAATTTGGTGCATCCAGTCCTGAGTCGTGGGACCCGTAAATCAACTCTGTGTTTCGAGAAAAACGCTTTGCATGTTTTACAGTTCGCTTTGCTCGTGGAACAAAATTCGGTCAACAAACATCAGTTACGAATACGTATTTACTAATACTAATATTAACACGTGTTTACTAATACGTACGTTCTTAAGTAGAATCGATTAAAATCATTAAATTGGTACTGTTCAGTTTGATATGCACTGATTTGCACTGCAGATAAGCAACACTAAATGCATAGACTTTCGGCTGTGCAAATCTTGACAAAGCATAATTGTGCATGCGTGTATTGTATGCGGTATTATTTGGTCGGTACTGCATATACCACGACCGTATCATTCTAAACAAGATGTAAAAGTGAGTGGATGGACTTCAGTGTAAGCTTTTAGAATGTAACTTTTCCATTTACAAGTGAATGTTGTTTGGTTTGAATTAAGAATTTAGAAAGCCACATAATGTTGTGCGACCGTATTAAGACGACGTGCAGTCATACCTGTATTGTAAGTCTTACATACATTATGAGATTTCAGTTAATTAGTTCCAAACTTCATAATTCGGAAGGTTCAAGAGCGAAAGATGATATCTTTGAGAAAGTTTCGCCGAGAACGACATCTATCGTTTTCTTGTAGTCAAACTGCGTAAATTATGAAATTGATGTAAAAAAAGTCAAATCAAATATGTTTAATACGCATTTTGCATCAAATTTGCGCTAATTCCGAGAGCCGTTCATGCTATAGTTGATCTTGCGTAATATAGGCTGTCTTACAATGAGCACTCATACGTAAAATTTTCATTAAGATTCATAACAACCACCTTGTTCTATTGTAGATTTCCCCATTTACCATAGATTCTATTGTAAAATCAATACATGCTATGGTTATTTTATAGTTGTAGACAATATGATTTATTGTAAATCGAATAAATTCTATTATATGGTTACAACACATTTGATTGTGCCTCTTGGTTCTTTTTTACTGGTCTTTTATAAAGCATTTACAAAGCATGCGATTACAACATGGACGCATAGTGGTATAAGAGCTATTATGCTGACTGTATCCACCTTAATTGAGCAATGTTGTAAAGCAATATGTACAATAAAATCTAATAATGAAGCTAGAAAACCTTTATTAGACGTCTAATAAAGCATGTTATTAACTCAATTGAAAGAAGTCTAATTAAAGTGTCAATGCATGTGAAAATTACACTTATTCGGTTTGGTATTTGATCAAACTGCTGGTGTTGAATCAGGAAGACAGTCAACGTTTATATAGCGTTTAATAAGTAAATTAATCAGATCAGAGCAAACACCGGAATAAAGGAGCATCTGTCGATCTCAATGAGGTTTTTTCAGCACATAATTCAACAACCCGTTTTATTCAGCATTGTTCGCTGTTATACAGAATTTATTCAATACATACATGTTTATTTGTGACTCTGAATTGTTTGTTGGGAATGGAATGGCTAAAGGTGTAGCTACCTCATGTTAGATGAAAATCTTTCATAAGTCGCGCTCATGAAATTTATATGTGTTGTTCATAAGTCGAGCCTTAGGGTGCCTCAATGTTGGACCGAAGAGAGTACCAGCATAGAGCTAACTCTAAGACGAGAAAGTCCCGAAGAAACATGCTCAACTTTTTGGCTCAGCTAACGTTAACAGCTTCGGAGGGAGGAGTTGGCAAATGTCCACAGTCCATACATTTTTTTTTTTATTTATATGGATGATTGTCCACGCAGGGAAGCGGGGGGAGGACCACTCAAAACATGTCCACGTGGTGTTTTTTTACTGCGAAAAAAAAAACTTATTGCTGAAATCAGCCATGCCAAAATTTCTATTTTTTACCAAATGTTACTGCTTATATGAAACCAAGAAAATATTTTGGACACCGGGAAAATTCCTTAAATTCAATCGCATTTTGACATTTTGAAGGCTTGTTTTACACGATTTTTAAGTTTTTTTTTATTATTATGATTTTAGCAAAATGTTGGCGTTTTAAATTGTGTGCTACTGCGGTATTTTACTAAACATTTCATCGTTTTACGGCCATTGTCGACCGATTGAAAAAAAAACGCTAATTCATGATCATTTTATATCCGTGAGTTGCGAGAGGAATTTCTCAAAGTGATCAACAAAAGTTTGAGAACCGCTGTACTAGAACGCCTGTATTTGCAAAGTAACGACACTTGAAAATTGAATCAATCGATTATCTATTAATGGCTTGGAAAAAAATCATTCTATTTGAGCAGATGAACTGTCAAGTGCATTAGATGTCGTCACTATACTAATACAAGCATTCTAGTATACGCATATCTCAATCGTTTGATTTGGTGCCCTACTTTAAACAAATATTGTAGACGATTTCTCCTTTATGAACCTGTGTCAGCGTTGTAAAAGGCAATGAACTCACCGTTTACCTATTTCAATCCGTTGCCTTGCAGCCTTTCCCTGACATCACATGAATAAAACTGCATCGTCACGTCGTTTCTATCTGAGTAATCTCGGTGAAACCAGTCCACTTTTTGCACGAGGTTTCCAAAAACCTTTTTTTTTGTACTCATTCAGAAGTTCTAGTTACGAAACTAAAATAATCGATCGGCAAAGGTCAAATTGATGGACCCCTCAGTAACTAGGGGCTTTTAAAAGTACCCAAATTTTGCATATTCTTGATTCATTAAAATAAAGCTTTGAAAATTCTTAAGAAAACCTCTAATGTTTGTACACCATAGTAGGTAGGTTATCGCTTTAATTTGGCATGTTGTAAATAAGCACGCCATTTGAAAGCTGACAATTTTTCCTACAAGATACAGTTCATATTTCAATGGAGCAATCCATTTTTTTTTGTGGTTTGATAAATCACATAAACCACTTTTGAAAACTGTTGGAGCCCTTAGTTACCGAAGAGTCCAGCAATCTGACCTTTGTCTAACGATTTTTCTAGTTTTATAAATAGAACTTCTAAATGAGTAAAAAAAATATTTTGATAACCTTGTACAAAGAGTGGACTGGTTTCAGTGAGAATTGCTCATCTGGTTGATGCAGGCGTGCATACATTTAAATATAGGAGTGAAAAATTAGTACCCGTAAAAAAATGTTGTTCTAATGTTGACACTTTAGATAACATAGAATATATTGTAGCCTAATGTGGTGACAATAGGATCATTTGCCAATTAATTAAAAAAAAAATACAGTAGAGTTTGTTTTTTAGTGTTATGGTATTGTGATTTTATGATTATTTTTGGGTAAGGTAATAAGGATGCATCTACACTTCATAGCTACACGCTATCAACTATTATCTTGTACACGAATTATTCATGAACTGTGTACTTACTAATGCTTTTCCGGGCATTGACCGCGTAGACAATATCTTGAAATTCCACGTCTTTCGTCATCTTCACCGATGTGTGTTCCGCGTGAAGGTATCTACTGAAAGCGGTGTGTTCTCGATGCACTTTTTCTCTCAAGATCGAACAATGCACTGACCGGTTTTGTTATCGTTCTCTGCTTCTGTCGGTGGTTCCACTTTACACTTTTTTTTCTCTCCTATATCGTAATAAAAGCAGCTCTCTTTGAGGCTTTCCGGAACTGATGAGTGTATAAATGCATCTGGCTCGGTTATTTGTTGTTTTGATAAAAAAGTTCCGTTGGCTTCTTTGACGTTTCTGTCTGCAGGGATATTTTGCTAATATGTATTCAGTCGTCCAACCGCTTGCAAAGCAATGCTGTTCTGAAACGATAAATAATGAAATAATATTAATCAAAAGCTGAATGCATTAGACGATATTCATCAATTCACAATCCGATCACGACCACTGACTCATGCATTCAAAGAAACTGTTAATCATAATACGTCGATAAAGGGATTCATTCTTGAAATGGAAAACCCAGATTGCAAGTGTCATTACATGAGGCACAGTAGAATGCTTAATTTGAAAAAATTAGGTTCATAATCCCAAATTATTTTAAACTTAAAGCCATATTTTGTATAGAGATTACCACTTACTACTATGGAAGTGTCACGGTCAATTGAGGGTCCAAAATCACAATTGTTGCACTCAAAAAAAGACCTAATAAAAGGTTTCTTCATTATAATAGAAGATCATTCAAGGCTGTATAGCTTTTTTTTTTAATTCTATCTTACCCTATCGTCCAAGCTTCCTGATTCTGAGAAGCAGTAGTAATTAGTGTCATTTAGATTTTAATGTGAGTACCCATTCAATGTTATTGAATAATCTTACCCTTCTCATCTTTACGGAATAGTACTACTAACTACCACTTTGTACCACTAGGTAAACAGTAACCAGTACAGTTATTGTTATAATGCATGCGCTAAAGGTGTCACGAGATGACCGCTGGCAATTAGATTACACGTGGCTCGTCTACACTTGAGGGTAATATAAGGTCTTTCATCGATGATGACAGACATATACGATAGTTTGCTTCTGATAAATGTCAAGAGGCTAATCACTTCATTTAGTATCCGTTCACAAATTAAGCATCGCAAAATGGTTGTAGGAAGCGAATGAACTAATTATTTATATTTTTCAAAACTTTTTGTAAACTTAACGTACGCGATACCCTCCCAGCTCCATTGTAATAAGTAGTTACTACTATGAAGGTAGTATGAGTGTGACTAAGATTTTTTCCCTTGCGATTATATGGACGTCAATTGTTTGGTAATTTTCGTTGTGTGGAGAAACTCACTAAATCCTACGAGCTTTTTCGCAGAAATATACGATATTTTCTGCAAAACGAATTAGTTGATTAGGTATAGCCACCCACGATGTGTATGATTGCTGCTTCTACTTCTCTTTTATTTATGTTGTGCTTTATTAGAATGTATGTAATTTGTGCACAGCTAAGGGAAGTGCATAATAAGTAAACAATAATTTTCATTCAGGCAAATGGCAATAACCAACTTCAACCGAATCGCGTAGCTCCCTGGCAGGTATAAGTAAGCATCATGATCTTGAACTTGTAAACCACGCGAAAGCATTATTATAGCTTTCGCGTGGTTTGCAAGTTCAGGATCAAGATCAATCAACCTCTTGGATAAAGGGGTTGTCACGCTCCGGTATCCACGTGGATCAATATGATCATAAAACTGGCTGAACCGGTGGCGTGTGTTGGTGCCACCTTTGGCGTACAGGTGGAAAGCTTCGACGGTTCACTTCACATGTTTTCTTTGTGGTTTCTTCTGGCGTAGTTGTTGCTTCATCAGACTACGGTGTTTAACGATTGAAATGATTAACGAGCTCGACAAGTAACTTTATTGTTATGATAATTTGAAAGATTATCTTTTTGCGACGAGATATTTTTTGCACAAATAATTGACTCACACTCATAGGATATGATGCATTTGTTACAGTTTTGTTCGGTAGCAAACAAAATCTCTAATTATGTCGCGTTCGGTGGTTTTCACCAGAACTCCAACAAAACTTTCATATTTGGGTCATTCCAGCTCAAGTGGGTACAGAATTTAAAAAAGTTGTGGTCGATGTCACCGATTTGAGCCAAACTTAGCCAAAACGCTTGGCACAATAAAAAATTTATATTATTTTTCACACGTTCTGGGTAGGATTATATAAAATCACAACTAGCTCATTTCAAAAATATTTTTTTTAATAGCATTGATTTTAAAAACCAGAAGAGCTCAAAACTACCACTCACTCATCTGGTCATATCTCAAAAACTATTTGTCCCTTGGAAACACAACAAGTAGAAGAGTTTTCCAAAGTGTGGTGAAAATCTGAGCCCAAAATATTAAGAAATAAAAAATCCCGCTCATGGTAAAAATAGGCCATTTTTTGGCCAAGTTTGGCTCAAATCGGTGACATCGACCATAGGTGGTGTACCCACTTGAGCTGGAATGGCCCATTTAGCTTCTCAAATTGACACATAAGTAGAGTATTTTTTAAACAGTAGCAGTGCACAACCCAACAAACAATTTTAGCTGCAAACTTTATACAGGCATAAATTAGCTGTATAAGACAATTTGTGACTGTATTAGGTAATCTGCACCTATAATTGTTTATTGGGAATTGTCCAGAATGGGAATTTAGCATGAAAGATGTATTTAGAACCTGAACATGAAATATTTAAAAAAAAGTGCCTTGTACAAAGTTGTTCCTAACAGTTAAGACTTATTTAGGTGTCAATTAATAATAGGGTGGTTCTTATTAGCGTTGAAATAAAAATATAAGAAGAGTTTTTTGAGTGTGTTGTTTCTTTGTTATTTCCTTTTAATTGCTTATACTTTGACAGATACGCGTATTTCGTCTACTACTTGCAGACTTCATCAGTGCCAAGTACTCAACACCACCACCACCGAAATACGCGTATCTTTCAAAGGATAAGCAGTTATAACGGAATTAAAAGGGAATAAATCAACATACCGTGCCGATTCAAATTTCGGACACTTAAACTCGAATTTCGGACACTTTTAAAAGTTGATTATCTCGGTCGAATATGATCCACATGTCTTGTAAATTTTAAATTTTTTTGACTAGTGCCCTCCACGATCATCTAACATTATTACTTTGTTTCTAACTGGATGTAATATTTAATTAAAAATGAAAGTGTCCGAAATTTGAATCGGAACGGTACTCAAAAAGTTCTTTATAAAGGGATTCCGTTAAAAAGTTCGACAAAATTAAAAGGTTTAAAAAATTTAATTTTTTTTTAAGGAAATAAAGATATAAATTTTTCGGCAAAGTTGTAGCTCAGCTAATTTCAAGCAACGTTATTTAAGAAAACGTTATTTTATCTCTTAAAATTATCAAGTTAGAGTAATTTTCATAAATTGGTTTAGGGTGTCTCTAAAAAAATCAATGTTTTTGCTCTATTTTTTCAAATTTCTCAGCAAAATTGTCTTCAGATAGCTTTTAGAACCTATTCTTTTCGATACTGCAATTTTTTTTATGGCAAGGAACTACTTTGTAGAAGTTTTTTCTAACATTTCAATTACAGGCGCATCTTTCCTGCTAAATTCATATTCTGGACCACTATTTAATTATGGAAAGATTCACGAATACTCATAGTGACTCGCGAAATTTTCCTTTTGTGAACTTCAACTTTTACCAAAGAGACAGCTCAGCAGCAATACATCCGGATTTGATACTTTGCGGCAAAGTTACAGATAAATCTATTTACTAACTGCTTGATTTACAAATCATACGTTGCATGAATTACGCATAATTACACTAATGCAAAAATGGTGCAGGCATCGAAAGCTCTCAATTAATAACTGTGGAAGTATATCTAGAACGATAACTTGAGAGAACGCATTAAGCTAATGTGCGGTAAGCAATAATCTTGAAACTCGAAATAGAAGAAGATGATGAAGAAGAAGAAGAAGAAGAAGAAGAAGAAGAATACCGACTTGGAAACCATACGTACCGTTAGATTTGATAAAGAGTCACAAATTGATGAGATATTGTTATTGATTCCAATTCCATCATAGGCGATGACGGCCATAAGACGGCTACCCTTTCGATTATTGAAACAATCCACTCTTGAACAAAATTAATTATACAGACTCAAGCAACCAAAAGTTCCACATTCAACGATAAAACGATCAAATTTCATAAAGTTCAAAGAAAGTTCCGACAAAACCTTCAACTTCCATAAAGTTCGAATAAAGTTCCGTCAAAACTTTCTTCCCAAGCAACTAAAAGTTCCGCATACCACGATAAAACCCACTTTCAAGTTCCACAAAGTGCATAAAAAGTTCCAACAGAACTTCCTGGCTACTTTAGAAGCTATAGATTTGTTATCAAGAAAACATGATTTGTTATCTTTTTAACATCCTTCATATACCTACCATTTAGATACATTTTTTGTTATAATTACTTTACTGTTAACTCGACCACATGGTAGGTAAAATATTTTATCACGAACGCTTATATCAAAATATGAACTTTATTTTTAATTTTATTTTCATTCTCTGCTCGGGTTAGGAGCCTATTGTTGTGTATGGAGACCTCCATACACCTCCATACACAACATGGTCTAGGACTTGTACCACCTACGAATTTGTGCAATTTGCTTAATGCGAATGTGAAAACGTAAACTGGTTTGTATTCTTTCGAATTGACATAGGGGACATAGTCCTATTGTTGCGGTACGTTAGAAGCGTTAGAAGTCTATTGTTGTGTATGAAGGTCTCCATAAACAACAATAGTTCCTAACGCTTCTAACGTATCGCAAAAATTAGACTGTTTTTCCTAACTGATTCCACACGTAAAAGTAGAATCACAGACAAACAGATATAATACATTGAATATTTCTCATTGTAAAACATCGTCGCTAAAACATTACCGCCATCTGTTGAGTACACTGTGGTGGGAAACAGATGGCGGTATTGTGTAAACGTCAATCGCAACGGAATTTACTATGCGCGCCACAGGTGGCAGTACTACCAACTGAGATACTTTGAAATGCTTGTTCGATGAACAACTTATGAGTGTTATGTCTGTTTGTCTGTGATTTATCAAGCACACGCAATTAAAGAAAACTAGGTTTTAATTCACGCCTGCTCTGTCAACATTGCTTTGCAATCTAAAAACTGGCATTTAGAAAGACAAATAGGCTTTAAACGGGAAAGATAAAAGACGCCAAATTGGCCTTAAACCTATAGAATTGTCTAAAAATGCTGAAATGACTTAAAAATGGCCAAAACTGCAATAAAAAACATGCCATCAACTTAAAACCGCCAATACAGTCATA